GAAAACAAAATAACAAATTACAAATGCAAATGCAAGTCTAAAAAACAAAATAACAATCGTATGCAATAATAACAATTCATACAATACATTTAAACTGAGCTACTTTAATACCATCTCCAAACTTTCTACTACGACTCTGCTGTTCTTCGGCTGGTTCTTCCTGTATACGTTAATTGACAGATGTCTCGTCCAGTCAGCGGTGAGTAATCCCAAACCAATGGCGCTGTCTCAAACTATACCTACCTCTTCCGGTTTGTCTGATTTGTCGTTGTGTTTTCTGACTCATTTTGTTTTTCGAATTTGTCATTGTGTTTTCTGAATTGTTGTTGTGTTTTCTGACTGATAAATTTATAGGATTTTTTGCAGAGTGACAGGAACTAAAATACATTTAGTGTTTATTATATACATGTACACCCTAGTAAAACAGTAATATATTTCAAATACATTTATTTCATACTGAGTATAGTTCAAATCTATTCTGACATATCACTTCTCCTTATGGAGATCACAATTCTGACTTTAAATTATAATTAGACTTTATTTAAAGGGGTCATATGATGCGATTTCAAGTTTTCCTTTCTCTTTGGAGTGTTACAAGCTGATTGTGCATAGATAAGATCCCTGAAGTTGCAAAGACTAAAGTCTCAAAACCAAAGAGATATTCTTTTTACATTTATTTTGAAAGATGACGCTCGTGATTATGGTTAAGCGGCTTTACATTTCCGACGAGTGCTTGCGGTGTTCGGCCAATCACAATGCACTGGGTCAGCTGGCAAATCAGAGCAGACTGCGCTTGTCGGAAGGAGGGACTTTGTAGAAAACGAAGCGTTTGAGAGAGGCGGGGCATAGAGGACCTACAATAATGTACAGTATTTGAAAAATAATGTGTTCTTTGAACATTAAAGCATGTCAACATATTCTGTTACACCAAATACACAAAATAATGATCTTTAAAAAGGCATCATATGACCCCTTTAAAGTACACTTTAAATGCAAGATATTTAAAGTGTACCTAAAGTATACTTGCAATAGTTTCACTTTAGCACAATCAAATATACTTCAGTATATCCTTAGTTGGACTTCAGCAGTACTTCTACACAATTAAAGTGCATTAAGTGCAAAATTAGTTGTTCTAATTTAGCAGACTTTAATTATACCAGTTTAGGATACTAAAAGTACAACTGCAGGGTATTTTTATTAAGTACATATATGTATATAAATGTATTTGTAGTATACTTAGCATGAAATAAATGTATTTGTTTTTTAAGGCACCAATGCAACTTACCATTTTTTTTCTTTTAATAATGCACTTTTGACCCACTGTGACTTCTTTTCCGGAAAATAGTATAGCACCCAGAAATCATCAGTTTCCAAGCTGACACATGAAGGTAATGGTGCACATGCAGTGGCTTGTTTTAAAATCAACTTTGATGATAATTATGTCAATAGGGATCTGAAGTAGGATTCAGAAAACGCACAGAATGTGGACACAGCAAGAGTGTGGCAGTGTTGGTAGGACACATGTTACTGTATTAATTAAGTATTAGGTATAAAGTATTAACACTCCCGTGCAGGAGGCAACAGGAGCGCCTGCTTTCCTCCATCAGAGCGAAGAGCTTGCTGTGTGTGGAATGTGTAAGGCAGTGATGTGAAACAGATGCCTCCTCTGCAGGCTTGATGCTGCACGTGGCCGCTGTCTCTCCAGACGGATGCTGCATAAAACGGAGAAGGTGCGAGCCAAGCAGTTTGGTCCAGCATCTATTAGACTAGACTACCGTGGCATGACTTCGCAGCACGTGTGATCGCAGGCCTTCTGGTGATGATGATGTTGTTGTCACATGTACACACACACACTCGCGCGCTCTTCTACACGGGCCAGTGTGTGTCAGCAGGGACCTTTCCGAGCACAGTTTGAGTGTCTGTAGCGGCCCACGCCCCAGGCCTGCCAGTCCAGGCCCAAATCACAGGGCTGTTAACCGCAGGGAGCTAATTGTAGCACAGCTCCTTGAAACGCTTCCCTTTAATTCTCTCCCTGGTTTCACTCACTCTCTCTCCTCGGATCAAACATAAACAATCGCTGATAAAGCTCGGAAGATCTGGGCCGAGGAGACGAGCCAAGAGAACGTGTGAGAAGTGGAATCTGAATCCGAAAACTTTCCAGAAACTTGAGACTGACATGTTTAGAATGAACCAATTACTCTATAGTTGAGGCATTTGGGGGGCTTTTTAGCCTGTATTTAAGAAAAAGTAATGACAGACAGAAAAGTGAGAGGGTTGGGATTTAAACCAAGCCGGGTTCGAACCCCAATCCCCATGAGCCGATGAATATGGTAATAATTCAGTCCCATAGTATATGGCACCATTCAAAAATTTGGGGTCAGTAAGATTTTTTTTTTTTTTAAAGAAATTAATACTTAATTCATCAAGGATACAATTGACAGTAAAGACATTTATAATGGATTCTTATTTCAAATAAATGCTGTTCTTTTGAACTTTCTATTCAGCAAATAATCCTGAAAAAATATGTTTACACTAAAATATTAAGCAGCAAAAATTTACATTGAAAAAATAAATGCATCTTGAACAGCAAATCAGAATATTAGAATGATTTCTAAAGGATCGTGTGACAATGAAGTCTGACCTCTGCTGAAAACTCAGCTTTGCATCACAGAAATAAATTACATTTTAAAATAAATTCAAATCGAAAACAGTAATTTTTTCAGTCATTATTTTTTTTATAACATATATACAGTCTTGGGGAGCATAAGGGTTGTATTTAAAAAAACATTAAAAAATCTTTCCATCCAAAAACTATTGAATGGTAGTGTATATCAAAATACCATGGGACTATAATTTGCGATACAATCACTGTACAGTGATAGCATCATAAAACAGTGGATTTTGTAAAAGTGGTCATTGGACATGTACTGTAGTGATGTTGATAATTCTTCAGCTGTGCTGGTGTGTTTAAGATATTTGCGGTGGTCTCTGGTCTCCATCTCTAATGATCCTGCCGGCTGTTCTGATGAAGATCTAAACTCTGTAACATCTGGCTAGCACTTTATCATCCCACTGCCCAGTTTCCTTCTGCATGTTTGAGAAGGACTGACCCACAATTACAGGGTTGCCAGATTGCAAATGACCCCCCGCGTATCGTACATAACCTACTGAATGTTGACTTCAGAATGACTGGCTTGGCAACTGTTCCAACAACTACTGTAAATAGCCCATGTCTAGTTTTTCCGTAACATGGTTGGTTACGGTGGAGATTTCTGTGGCCTGGTACAGTCGGTTCACGAGGTTTCCTCACCAGTGACAGGATATTTTCAGACCAAAGTCAAGTTTATTTGTACAGCGCTTTTCACGATACAAATCATTGCAAAGCAACTTTACAGGGCGTGGTAGACGACTAGTAAGGTACGCAGGAGCTAACCCATTAAGGGCCTTATAGGCAAGTAATAATATTTTGTAACTGATACGGAACTTAATAGGTAGCCAGTGCAGAGACTGTAAAATTGGGGTAATATGATCATATTTTCTTGACCTGGTAAGGACTCTAGCCGCTGCATTTTGGACCACCTGTAGCTTGTTTATTGAAGATGCAGGACAACCACCTAGCAGTGCATTACAATAGTCCAGTCTAGAGGTCATGAATGCATGAACTAGCTTTTCTGCATCAGAAACAGGTAACATATTTCGTAACTTGGCAATGTTTCTAAGATGGAAGAATGCTGTTTTTGTAACATGGGAAATATGATTTTCAAAAGACAAGTTGCTATCTAATATAACACCCAGATTTTTGACTGTAGAGGAAGTAACCTGAGAAGTATTTTAATAACGTAAGAGGATTATTCCCATTCTGTTATGCACAGTGTAACAGTGCTTATTTTGTTCATTGGCTAGTACATAAACTTCAAACCACTTATGAGAGTGTTTGAGAGGGTTGATGTGTGGTACAGAAACATTAGACGCTGGAGAGCGGTAATGGCTTTGTGTTTTAACAGCGGTTGAAAAGTGTTGCTGCTAAGCTTGCCAAAACCATTTACAACTGGATAGGATGATTTCCAAATCATCTGATATAAACACTGATGATAAGACACTGATATATACAGATGTGTGCATCACACACACCCGGTCTCCATCTGTCCTGCGTAGTGATAGATTCTACAGGATGGGATTCTTGTTATCTATAAATCTTTTATGCTTTGAACGCAGAGTACAAAGAAGAAATGGGTCTATGATGTTACATAAGCACTTCATAATTTACAATAGTGACAACATTGGCCATCATCGGTAACATTAGTTTGTGCAGCCTCTGTCGTGCATTATCATGACAGAATTTTTTTGTGTCTTTGTGGCCACTAGAAGGCAGTGTGTGATTTGAAATTTCAGGTTAGTGGCTGATCATGAAATCCGAGGTCTTAGTAATGCATGTGCATTAGAGCTCAAAGAAAGCAGCATGTTGTGAGGTTCATATGTCAAATTTATGAGTGTCAATTGACATTTGTATTGATTGACAGTGTTTTTAGTTCCTTTTCTTCTGAAACATGTACAACTAAAATTTGAATTTAGTCTCAATTACACTACCTTTAAGATATTTAAATGTTTTTAGAAGTCTCTTATGCTCACTAAAGCTGCATTTATTTAATCAAAAATACAGTAAAAATTCTGAAGAACAGCATTTATTTGAAATTAAAATGTTTTGTATCATTATTAATGTCTTTACTGATACTTTTAAATTGTCTTCGCTGAATATTTAATTTTTGAATGGTAGAGTCTGTCATACTGATTTTTGCAGTAAACATGCAAATTTAGCTTATATTTGAGGTTAGGTTACTTAACGTTTTAATATTAAGTATTAAACTTAAATGGCTAATTTAAATTTTTTTTTAGAAACTTTTTTACCTTTTTAAAGGTTGTTCCATTTTAAAAGTTTAAAATCTGTAAAAAGTCAAATTTTCCCATGAATTCTGAGTAGTCCTTCACTTTTCCTGTTTCAGATGGAGCAGTTTTCAGATGACGAGCTGGATCACGCTGCAGAGGAGGACAGCGATAAAGAGGACCAGGACCTGGACAAAATGTTTGGAGCATGGCTGGGAGAGCTGGACAAACTGACAAAGGTGATAACCAGTACATTTGTGTAATAATCTCATGGTTGTCAGTGTAGATTAGGTTAGTGGTGTCAATACCCATGAGGCTTTAAGCAGCGTGATGAGTCTGTCAGTCATTCAATTCCGTTTTGTGCAGTGTCCTCATAGATGCATTTCAATTTACTATTAAAGCTTATTTTATTAGTTTGTAATGTTATACATCAAAAGGTATTAAGTATGAATGTCATCACTGATAATCTGTATTTTTCTAAATTAATCAGGTAGTCCTGAAATCCCTCTACAGTGTTATTTACAGTACTGAGTGACACAGCTGAATCTACTGTATATGTGTAGTCTCACCACTCTTTGTTTATCTGTTTTGCTGTCTTTAGAGTCTAGATGACGGGAGACCGGAGAAGGTGCAGAAAGCACCTCTCAGACAAGAGACAAACATGGCCAACATGGCCTACCGCTTCTCCATTTATAACATCAACGGTGAGGCCACATTATACACTCTACATCACAATATATTCGATTATTATCCACAATATTATATTATCATATTCTAATATCATTATAACCTCAGATGGGGGCTATAGATTGCAAAATTATTCATGTAACTGAGGACTGTGCATTTTAAAGTCATTATGACTCCATAAGGATAATTATATATTGTTTTCAATAAAAATGATTATGACTTCATGGAACACAAGGCTCTTGAGACATATGTTCAGTAAATATTTGACATGCTTAAAGCTGATTTGTTTACACTTGTTTGTGTGTGTACATTTGTTTCCTCACAGAGGCTCTGAACCAGAGTGACGCAGTGGATCTGGATGCTCTGATGGCGGACCTCTGCTCCATCGAGCAGGAGCTCAGCACCATCGGTAAGCCTAGCAGCACTTCCTCTCGCCTTGGCCTGACAGGGGACACCAAAGTTCGTCAGAAGCCCCCGGCTGGACGCAGTCACAGCACCAAGCACACGGGCAGCAGCAGTGGAGGGGCGAGCAGCAGTGGCGGCAGCACCAGCAGCAGTACCCGCGCCTCCCCTGCCTCTACCGTCAGGGTGGGCAGCTCCAGCAGCAGACCCCCGCTGGCATCCAACTTCTCTCTGGATGACATCACAGCCCAGCTGGAAAAAGCCTCCCAAAGCATGGATGAAACAGCCAGGCAGAGCTCCACGTCCTTTAGCTCTACAGTCTCAGCACCGTACTCTTCCTCCACCATGCGGCGGCCGACCTCTCATCATCATCATCGCAGGACGGGGTCAGTGGGTACAGTCACCGAGCATGAGGTGCGGTCCTTTGTCCATTCCTCTCGCTCTAGCATTAACTCGGCCTCTGCATCCAGCATGGACTCGCTAGACATTGAAAAACCCAAGTCTGATCAGGACGGGTTGCAGGACGGACAGGACCAGCCGAGTTCAGAGGTAAACAGTGCTTTGTATTGTTGTTATCTCATATTATCCGACATCTTGGATGGATTTTTTTTGACCAAGCTTGAAGTAATGCATTATCTTTGAAGGGCACATACAACATGCCTTAGAGTTTGTCTAAAAAAAAAAAGAGATTTTATAAGGCCATGGGTCTCAACCAGGGGGCCAGGGCCCGATAGGGGCTTTGAGCAAACTTCCAAGATGGCCTTTACGTTACTTAAAATAATTTGAAATAAGACAAAACAAGCATTAAAGGGTTAGTTCACCCCAAAATGAAAATTCTGTCATTAATTACTCACCTTCATGTCGTTCCAAACCCGTAAGACCTCTAGATGTTCATCTTCGGAACACAAATTAAGATATTTTTGATGAAATCTGAGAGCTTTCTGACCCTCCATAGACACCAACGCAACTGAAATGTTCCCAGACCCAGAAACGTAGTAAGGACATCGGTAAAACAGTCCATGTGACGTCAGTGGCTCAACTTCTATTTTGCGAAGCTACGAGAATACTTTTTGTGTGCACAGAAAACAAAAATAACAACTTTATTCAACAATTCTTCTCCCCCAAGTGACCATCTTCTGCCATTTTGGAGTGTACCACGACGCATGTGCGCGCTTTCTCCTTAACATAAACAACGCTGTTTACATTGATATCGTTCCGGAGAAAGTGTGCGCATGTGTTTTCAGTTGTGTTGCTGTCTATGCAGCTGTCCGATTTCATGAAAAATATCTTAATTTGTGTTCCGAAGATGAGCGGAGGTTTGGAACGACATGAGGGTGACTAATTAAGGACAGAATTTTCATTTTGGGGTAAACTAACCCTTTAAAACAAAACCAAACAACTAAAAATCAAGATATTTCTTATTTTAATTCACCTCTTCAACAATAGTTTTTTTTTTCTTTTTAATTCCTTTGAGGAACCTGGGGTTTGGAAAACCTATATATGTACCAATGTACCTTTGTGTGATTTCTAGACATAGAAGAATAAATTCTTATTTTATTAAACCTCAAGGTCCCACTTTAGATTAAGTGGCCTTGTACTTACATCAAAAAATAAGTACAATGTATTGTGTTCATATTGTATTGCAAAACACTTTTGCTGCCATTGAGGCGGGATACGGGTAAGGTTAGACACAGTTTTGGTGGTATGAGTAGGTTTAAGGGTGGGTAAAGGTGAAAGGGATGGGTCAACAGTGTAATTATAAATGTAACTACAGAAATTAATTACAGATGTAATTGCCGGTATTTTTTTTAAATATAAGTGCAATGAAAAAACATGTACACAGTAAGTGCATTGTATCAAATGATTAATTTAAATGTAAGTGCATAGTAGTTAAGGCCACTTAACATAAAGTGGGACCGAAAGGGTGAGAAAATGTTTTTAAAAATCCTTACATTTAATCCAGTAAATGATGGAAAGCTTGTCATGGGGCCTTTGAATATCATTGTGTTCAGTGGGGTGCCTGTTGGAACAGCCTTCAGGTCTAAAGCGCTTAAAATGTTGCCAATGTAGACAGCTCCCTCGGTTTTGGAACAGAACCTAGTCAGTTCATCAGGCCTTTAGCAGAGCAGATTAAGCATTAAGCTGAGCATTGCTTCTGTCCCTGAGTGAAAGGCCGAATAAAAGCAGCTTTTACCCTTACTTCAGACTTAATTACACAGACAAGTGATTTTGCTATAGTTTGGATTATATTTAGTTGTTGTATTGAGTTGGATCTAACCCAAATATTTAATGGTTAAACTTTCAACCCATTGTGGGTACAGTTAAACAAATGCAGATTTCTTAAATGCATCAGTTATTAGTTACATTTTCTTTCTTAAATGAATCGAAGGCCGTCATGAATCATGTGCGTGACAGTCACAGACCATTTCTTTTACTTAAGGCTTTTCGCATTGCCCCCAAACACCAACTTGTTGGGTTTTGTTATATTAGTATGTTAACCGTGTTGGTTAATGTGAACCAGCCTGCTAATGGAATGAATTTGTGGTCACAGATGAAATGATTTAAGAAGGCACACAGACCACTGCTATTTAAAGCTTTCAGCATGCTTCCTTCTATTGTTCAGAGGAATAATCTTACAGGGCAGATTGTTGCGGAGGGATTTCGCTAATCTATCCTATCCCACGGATCTTTACTGATAAACATGATTCACCTACAGATGATTGATGATAGATAAACACCTCTAATTAAATGACAGCGACCACACATGTGCGATTAAAAACAAAACATGATCATTACTGATTATCCTTGGAAATCACACTAGTAAGGTCTTTAAAAGTGCCATTTAAAAATTATTTGAGCCATTTGAAATGTGAAATTGAACAGTTTTGGATAGGACATTTTTAGGACATCTTTTTAGTTTCAGTGATTATTGCTCACAATTTTCCCCTGTGCTTTCACACTATGAAAAATCATTAATGTTTATTAATCAAAGCACTAATGACTCTTGTTTCTCCTCTCTCTGCACAAAGCACTCGTATCTGGACAGGGAGACCTCTCTCATTCTGAAAAGCATTGCAGGAAAGCCCTCTCACTTGCTGACCAAGGTGACGCCCTCTTTCCACCTCTGGATGCATTGAGTTTCTCCTAGTGGCTTCCTAACCCCTCTGTGCATGCCAGCATGATCCATTTTTCTTTCATTATGTGTCTTGGTATTAGACATAATGAAGCTCTTCTAATGAAATACAGCTTTGTATAATTCCTCTAACCTTGTTCCTTATACCTCAGTATTTTTTTGGTTAATTCATACTGACCTTTACCATCTCCCCACCTCCTGCGTCATGCTGATTCCTCGTCTGTAGCCAGTCAATTCAATATATCAAAGGACATCAGAAGTATCAGAATATATGGTTGACGCAGAGCGTTGTGCATGGATACTTCACATCACCTACAATGTTTGTGTTCCATAACAAAACAGGAATGTACAGGCCTCTATTAACTCAAACTCTCAATTTATGTATTGTTGATGTAGTTATAGTGCACTACATTTTAGGTCCTGTTTACACCAAGTCTGACAGGTAACCAACACAATTGATAAATTAATCATGAACCTTCAAACGAGAGGTCAGAGTTGGTGTAAAGCGGTTCATGGAGATGCATTGTTTTAATTTTGAAATCTTGTCCTGCATGTTCTTCTTGGTGTGAATAACCCCATTTTTCATCATTTATTTTGGTATTTACTTTTGCGTACAATCAAAATAATTGGTGAGAGAAAATTCCATGAGATGGGAATAAAAATTGTATTTTAATGCTTTTGCATTAACACAAATCCTTAATGAGAGAATGTTATAGTTTTGTAAGCGAAACACAAATATTCTTGGAGGAATGCAAAAGCATTGCAATAAAATGTTTCTTCTCATCTCATATTGTTTTCATCGCCATGTTCCCTCAGGGGCTCTGTAGCATATGAGACGTCCACTTAAAAACGAATTGTTTTGCACTATGACTATTGACTTAAAATATGCCTGAAGAGCATGTTCATGCATGTTTTAATTGCATTTTGAGTTTGGTTTTGGCAGCTCTTCAGGACCGCATGTCCCAATCAAATCATTAAATATGTAGGAAGATATGTAAAGGATTTCGGGGAGCTCATTCCGTTTAGAGGTTAAACATTTGGACATTTGAGTTCAACAGAACAATATTAAACTTGTCATATTAGAACACGAAGTTGAAAACTGGACATGGATTATTTGTAATTGCCATTAGATGAATTTCATTGCTTGTTATTATGTAAGGAAACTTAGTTTCGTCACTGCTTATGTAACACAACATCTGTGATAATGACTGTAAGTGATGACTGTATGCTCCCTCCGGGTTTGTATGTACCTGTTCATTAGAGAGGTGCAGCCCCAGATCGGTTAGCTGTGGACAGGTGGCAGACGGACCCGCAAGGTACCGAGTGACATAATGATCAGCCCAACAGATGGATTCTAGGAAGCGATCAAGTTTCACCAGAAACAGCAGGCTGCAGTCCCACACAAAAGTCTTTTGCTTCCTCACAGACAATTGTCCGCCACATTCAACCAGTGTTTGTTTTCTCTTTTTTTTTTTGAGGACTTTCATACACAACAAAAACAGTTTAACATCAAACCTCCGTTAAACTGTTTAGGATTAGTCTTAAGCTTTCTTCGCACTGGTCAGCTCATCTTGTTAAACTCTACTGTGGCCTATAGACCAACAGTAGCCGGACCAGTGCCCCAGACCCAAATTCAGAGTGTGTTAAATCCAACACAGTCTTATGGCAATTTATAACTAATTTACATTTCGACCAATTTTTGTCAAATTTGGAAATATACGCAGTTTCATTCATTTTCATGTGATCTGCATATGTTCGATGGACAGTTATGTTTAAGCATGGAACTTCATGCTTTCTTTATTTCTAAAGTAGTAAAAATTCATACAAAATCAGGATTTTATAAAATAGTTCCATTTTCTTGTGAAATTGGGTTGGTTAAACCATTTACCGGAGATCTCAGATTTAGTACAGTAGCAGTCTAGTTTTAGTAACTCTAAATGCATCTGTTGAAAATCTCTTTAAGTTGCATTGTCACTCCTTGTGTTGTTCTTTGCTGTTTTGCTTTGGACACTGTCTAAAGTGCGAGTCACTTGTGTTGTGGCGGCATTAGCAAGGCTTGGAGTCGGTTGAGGGGATCTGATTGGTTGGAGGAGTTGAGTGAACGTGCCAGTAATCCACTTTACACTCGGGAGGTTTCATCACCTAGATTTTCATTCCTTATTCTGGCACTGTCTGTTCATCACTGCCCTTGTGCGCTACACTTTAGCATACTTTTGAAAAAAGTACTTATTACGGATATAATATACTTCAAAAGTATATACATAAGTGTGAACTGAATGTAATGTTTTGGACACTTAATTGCATGTTAACTACAATTAAATGAAAAAGATTCTAAATTTACATTTTTATAAAATATAAGTACATTTATATTATATTAAATTAGTTGAACTTGGGTCCTACAAAAACGGTACTCATAAAGTCTATGTTATATAATATATGTAATTACATAATTTCTCCTATAATCTTTTAAATTAATAATTAATTTATAGTGTATTATTATTATTATTACTATTATTAATAAATATGACGTATTTATGGTAAAATAACATTTTTATTGAAACTTATATTACATGTATTTAAATATATTTGTAATGAAGTTGACAGTTCTCATTCAGTACAATACATCATTTCATTTCTTTTTTTTAATAATCAGTTCTGGTACACTTAATGGAATAGTTTTAAATTATCCTTCAGTAAACAAGCATCACTGTCTTGTGAAAATGTGTTCAGATTATTTGTGACTCACCACTAGCGTATATATGCTGATGTTCATAATGTCTGTGAGGTCATGACACCTACAGCTCCTGGGTTCATGTCTCTCGTCATACTCCCACTCTCCACTTTTATTTGAGTCACTGATAACCGTAACTCTGCCCCGAGGGCACACACCTGCTCACAGAGATGTCTTTCTCTCTCCTCTCCCTACGCAAGCTGCGCTGGCTCTCCTAATTTCCCCAAAACCTTGGATGCTGTACAAGCCCTGATTTCTCAGCGATATAGATAATTGTAGTTTCTGCAGCCAGGTGGTTTGTGATGTAGAATTACGGGTCAGGAGAACAGCTGCTGGGCAGTTTCTGCTGCTGCTTATCTGCTTTATTTTTGGTTTCTCTGTTGGTTTTAGCCAGGGTTTAATTTCTTTTTTTTTCTTCTTTTTTTTTAGACAGTGGGTCGTTTAGTTTTGACATTGAGGACTTGAAATAGTATCTGGATTCTGATCTTCAGATGAGGCTATTCTTATTGAAGACATGCCTCTTTTTAATATGTGTGTTTCTGTGTCAGCTATGTCCCATTTCCACATGCTGTCTATGAGTCGTGAGCTTACACCACTTTTTTAATCATCACTTTAGTCAAAATAGACAAATAAATAGTCAAAATCAATAGTTTTTTATTATTTAAATGTTCATCCAATTACTTATGAAATGGTTAGTTCACCCAAAAATGAAAGTGAAAAATGGCTTACTCACCATAATTGAATTGTCATGGACTGGCCATCCGTTCAGGGCGTCCCCCGCCTCTGGCCCAAAACTGTTGGGATAGGCTCCAGCCCTCCACGACCCTATAGAGAATAAAGCAGTTTGGGAAATGGATGTATTTACTCACCACAATGTTGTTCCAAACCCATAAAACTGTTTGATCATCAAATCAGATTTTTAATGAAACCTGAGAGACTTCTGTTCCTCTATTGAAAGTCTGTTCCACCAAAACTCTAAAATTCAAAAAGCTCATAAAGACATTGTAAAAGAATGAGGTTTGTTCTTTCTCATCAAGTGCAATTGAACTTACAATTACTGTATTCGATGTACTTTATATATGTGCATTGATCAATGTTTATATGTGAATAAAGGCTTCAATTAAATCATAAAAGCAATCATGTCAGAAGACTGTGATTAAACCGCTCCGTTCATATGGATTACTTTTACTATTCGAAATTTCAGTGAAATAGACTTCCAGTGGAGGGATAGAAATCTTTAAATCTGATAAATAGAAGCAAGAATAAATGCATGGCTCTGAATATAAATATTATTCCATTTGCATGTTATTGTTACTATAGCTGATGTGCTGGGCATTAGTCAGGCGAGGATGTGTACTGTTAAGAGGCTTGAGCTGTAATTCCCTCACTTGCCATTTTGTTAGTTAAAATGAGAAGGCATGTGTGTCCAGATTTTAGGATGATTCTGTAGCTACAGTCCATTTTTCTGTGCCCTTTTGTGGCTGTTTTCTGGTGTATTTGTGTGTTATTCACTGCAGTGTGAGAGGATAATACACTGTGATTCGGCACAATTCCAAACCCAGACTAAAGCAATTGCACACAAATACACACACAGAAACAGGGATGGGGAGGGCTTGATGGAAGTCTATCTGACAGTAAAAGGGGAGGGATCATCTCTTTGTTTTAGAGAGAGAGAGAGAGAGAGATTAGCCAGTAGACGAGAGGTAGTAGAGTGTAGCCAGTTCTGCCCATCCTCCACCTTGTAGTAGATGCATTTTACGCTCTTGGGCAGAGGAGCTTCTCTCTGGGAATCATTTATGCTGTTGGAGGGGTATTCCAGTCATTTGTTCTTCAGTTATCTCACAGCTTCCTGACCATTACGGATTTACATGGACATTAAACTGCTCTGAGCATGGATCTGCACACCTCAGCGATGGCCAGAACAGTCACGAATAGACATGGACCAGCTTCAGACTTGCTACAATGGGATATTTTTCTATTCAACTGGACCTATAATTCTAAATGTGACTATTGAAAAGCAGCTTTCTGTAATCTGTTGAGGCGAATCTGTATTAGGGATTGCAAAAGGGCTACCAAAATCAAATGGGGCGAATGCCAGGAGAAGAGCGTTCAGATTGTGTTTACAGACATATGTCATAGTACTGCTTGTTTTTAAGCTTTTTACCTTCCTCTTTATTTTTTTGCACCAAAGCTTTAATTGTTCTTCAAGGTCAAAATAATCCTTTTTACAATGGCTTCTTGCTGGAAAAGCCAGGTAAATGTGAGGGCTGTGCACTCTGGGTCTTATAGATCATCAAATGTCCAAATGTTTAACCATAAAAAATTGGTTTCTCCAAGCAATAATTAACGTTACAATAATTCAGAATGTATTTCCATGTGGTGACTGTGTTTGTATGTGTACTGTATATTTAGGAGGAACAAGCTGCCAAACAAAAAGCTGAGAAGATCAGAGTAGCTCTGGAGAAGATAAAGGAAGCGCAGGTTAAAAAGGTGAGATGATCAGCAGTTTTTTTTTTGTTTAGATGTAAACTTATCTTAACTGAACATGTGACGCAAACCTGGTCACATATGTTTACTGCTTATACATCTGTGCTGTACAGTAGTTTTCAGATGACACCTTCAGCATGTGCAATGTGGTGTAGTGTAGAAGCGGGTCATTGCAGCACACTTACATGGCTGAATCAGGCCCCCGTGGGACCTGGGAAATGATTTTATAGCACATTTTCACAGAATGTTTAGTGTAATTTGGCTTTGGAAGAGCTGTGTTGCCTCTAATAGAGATTGACCGTTATTCAGTTGACCAATAAGTTTGCTGTTATTAACACATTCTACTTTGGTTAATGGTTCTTTAATAATAATAATAATAATATTTGTTAGTATTATCATTGTTGTTAATAAAATATTAATAATAAATTTTTTTGGTGTTTTCTAATAATTATTCGAAAAGGTGAGACCTTTTTTCACACTTTCTACTTAGCATTTCTTTCATAATAAAAACAATAATAATATATTTTTAATAATAATTATTATTATTATGTATTTTTATTATTACTTGTATTAGTATTATTATGTATTATGTTTTATTGTTGTTTTCTAATAAAACAATAAGCCCTGTAAATCCATGGTTTGCTGTGATTATTTTATTATTTGTTAGGCACGATGCAGAGTGTTAGACGTTCTAAAATCACTGTAAACCACAACTTCATGGGGCTTATGGTTACTACATATACCTGACAAGGGTTCATAAAATGAACACACCGCAACAACAAAATAATAATACTGATACTACTGCTAATAATAATTTATTTATGATAAATAACAGTGCTTCTCCCGGGCAATGTAATTCAGGTGTGTGTTTATAGGTTATTTTACAATGGCTTAAAATAATTATTGGTAACACTTTAGGGATCAATTCTCACTATTAACTATTTGCTTATTAGCATGCATATTACTAGCATATTGGCTGTTTATTAGTACTTAAACACATATTAATTGCCTTATTCTGCATGACCCCCCTATACCTAAACTTAACAACTACCTTACTAACTATTAATAAGCAGCAAACTAGGAGTTTGAGGCAGAAGTTGTAGTTAATAGTTAATAGTGGGAATGATTCCCCAATCCAAAGTGTGACCTATTTATTTAGTTACTGTCCATAAAATAAATAAAATGAATATTATTAATAATTTCGTCATGTCATTTATCTGATACTATAATAAATAATAAGTATTGGTGTTTGTCTTTAAAAATAATACTGATCTCTAGACTCACTAGAATTTATTTCATGTTTCAGTCTATGTTGGCAAGTATAAATGTATATAAGTAGATATACGTACAGTTATAGATTGATGTCCTGTATCAGGACTTCCTGAGGTTTCTGTGTTGTTATCTGAGGAGGTGAAACAGGGCTGTGTTGATACAAACAGCCAAAGACCGGATGATCAAGACAACTTAAACACATTGAAGGGATTAGCTGTGTGTGTGTGTGTGTGTGTGTGTGTGTGTGTGTGTGTGTGTGTGTGCGCACGTGTGCCCGCGTGCCCTTACTCTCCCTCGGCGTCTGTTCTCTGAATATGTGTGTGTGGGTCAGCAGCCCTGATGGAATGTTTTCTGGGTCAGGTCACTGTCACAGTACACAAACTGAGCTTGTGTCTCTTTAAATGCTGCTCAGAAATCACTCTTGAAGTCAAATCGCTGTAAATGTGCTCTTAAAATCCACAGTTAATCTGGAATGAGCAGACAGTAACAAGCTGCTGGGTTTATGGCAGTGCTCAGGGAGTAAGTCATCGCCTTGTGTTCTGAGATATTTATCTCCCTAATTAAGATCGGATAAATTAATACATTTCTGTTAAATATATATGTGGATATTTTTGAGCAATGGTGGAAATTCATTGTTGAATTAGTGCGTGTAACTAACAGTTAGAAAGAACTGATTGTTAGAAAGAAATCTAATTTCGCATCTAATCGAGGTATCGACATACATTATGTGTCTTGGAGTAGATTAGAGTAGATAGTAGATGTGTAAATTCTGGTATTTTCACTGGCCTTTGACCATTCGTATGGTAAAATGTAGGTCAGTGTGTAATGTCTTAGAGAGGGAGGGGATTCCTATTGGTTTATATGTTTACAGGCTTTTTGATGTTGCTGGGAGATTTTTCTTATTAAAATGGGGATATGGATGTGGAAGGGCTATTTCATTTAATCTTGTTTGTGAGCAGTTGATGTTGTTGCTGTTTTACTCGGAGCTGAGGTGAATTTTTGCCTGGAGTGCTCTCAGAAGGCCTAACCCCCCAATAAAATGGCACAAAACACAGGTCACGATGTAACCCACTGATGAGAGAGACATTTTTGCAAGCACCAACCAAGTGATGTACAAACATATGTAACTTTTTGTCATGTCCTGTCTCTCCCCTCAGTTGGTTATCCGAGTGCACCTATCAGATGAAAGCTCAAAGACTGTGATGGTGGATGAGAGACAGACGGTGCGTCAAGTGCTGGACAGCCTGCTGGACAAATCCCACTGCGGTTATAGCCTGGACTGGTCTCTGGTGGAAATCATCACTGAACTTCAGACGGGTAAGAGCCAGAAGACTGTCTGATTGTAGCTTGTTCTGGCCAAGAACTGCACAGTAATTGACATGAAAATGGACCAATCACGGGATGTTTCTAGGTAAATCTGGATTTGGTCCCACAGTAATAGACCAACATGCAACAAACTGGTGCAAATAGTGTCAAAAAAATCTCTGAATGGTTTTACAGGCAACACCAAAGTAATTAGCAGAAAAGTTGGAGTAAGTAAGGTTTTTTTCAAAAGAAATGAATACTTTAAATCAGCAAAGGTGCATTAAATTGATCAGTAAAGGCATTTATAATGTTACAAAATATTTCTGTTTCAAGTAAATACTGTTCTTTTGAACTTTTATATTCATTAAAAATTGTTGGAAAAAATACGCTAAAATATTTAGCACAACTGTTTTCAACATTCATAATTACAAATGTTTCTTGAACATCAAATCAGCATATTAGAATGATTTCTGAAGGATCATGTGACACTGAAGACTGGAGCAATGATGCTGAAAATTAAACTAAAAACTAAAAAAATTATAAACTAAAATTTTTTTACAGACCCCACATTTTTGAATGGTAGTGTTGTTCATAGTTTCCATTTAAAAGCAATAATTACTGATTATTTAACCAACACAATTCTTCAAACAAAGCAGAATACACAGGTGTGCATGAAGATATCATGATTAATTCTAATTTGGTGCTAATTGCTAACAAAACAAAAGGTTTTGGGTAGGATTAGGGATGTAGAATATAGTCATGCAGAATATGTGCTTTATAAGTACTAATAAACAGCCAATTTGTTAAGAATATGCATGCACATTTGGTCTCGTACTGTATCGCGTACCTTGTCAGTGTCGTGCGCTTTGCTTGGCCATTTGCTGTGATAAACAGGAAAGTGTGTCCAGCTGAATTCAATTTGAGTTTTGTTAAACGAATAAAAAAGAAGCTTAGTTTACCGCGGAAGCGGTCGTGTGAAGACCGAAGAGTGTAAAGACCATCGACTCTACCGTGCGACTCCACCGGGCAGGACACCAGCAAAGGATAAGTATCGCTTTTTATTTCTCCTCTTTCCTACTACTTGTTTCACTTCTGTTTCAGTTTTTTATAACCATTTCTTACTATGTGTCAGTAAGTTGTTGTTATTTTAGCATGTGTGTTTGCCTCAGTGTTATTTTTTTAGGATTACTGATGAACTAATGTACTTTGATTTGTATTAGTTATCTATTTTAGTTGACTAAAAGTAAAGTAAAGCATGCTAATAAGCAACTAGTTAATAGTGAGAAACTTTTAAATATCATCTCTTTAAATATCATTTGTATATTGTAAACATAATTGTTTCCCGTTAGACTTACAAAAACCAGTGCGTCATCGAAGACGTGGTCTGGCAGGAAGTGCACATTCAGCGGTGGCACTTGAGTACATATGATAATAGACTATTCCTTCACGGACTAGTCTAAAGTATTCAGTTGAGACCGAAGTATCCAAAGAGAGATTGAATCAATAAAGAAAAATGAAAAAAGGGATTAAAATCATGTTGTCAGGCTTTCCCCAGATGAAGCACAACAAAAGCTGGATGATAATGCACATCTTTTTCATTTTCCGCTGGTCTTCAAACCATAACAGCAGTCCTATTTGATTTATTTGATCACTGCAGATTAGCAACGAGTATAGATTAGCAAAGTCTATGTCTGAAATCCCAATAGGATTATCCCATACAATCATGTGCAGTCTGAGCGAGGATAGCCCTAGAGACTAGGTAAATATTACTATAACCGCTTCCACCAATTCCATAATAGTAAGACTGTAAGTCTACTGAGAATACATTTTAACATATAATTTGAATATATTTTATTTTATTTTAAAATGTAATTTATTCCTGTGATGGCAAAGCTGAATTTTCAGCATCATTACTTCAGTCTTCAGTGTCACATGATCCTTCAGAAATCATTCTAATATGCTGCTCAAGTAACAATTCTTATTATTATCTATGTTGTGCTGCTTAAAATTTCTGTGAAAACAATGACACATCTTTTTTTTTCTGGATTCTTTAACGAATAGAAAGTTCAAAAGAACAGCGTTTGACATGGTAAATAAAATATTTTTGTAGCTTTTTAACAATTGAGTACATCTTTGCGTACAAAAGTATTAATTTCTTTGACCCCAAACTTTTGAACAGTAGTCTAACTTTGCATGTTAACAGAGGTAATACAGTATTATAGTCTGTTAGACTATACTTTTATTTGTATGTATTTTCAGCCCCATAGACTTCTATTTTAAGTTCATTACTATAAGCATTTTTGGTTTGTTTTTATGGTTTGAAAGACAAATCAAATTTATTATCTGAGGTATGTTTTTGATAGAGTTGTATTGAACCTACATGTAGAATATGCCTTTAACTGAACCTGCCCCCTCCCTTGCCGTGTCTAATATATGAGTGTGTGAGTCAGAGGCCTCATGTGCTGGGCTGCTCTGTATGTAGGTCCTGAGCGATCATGCGTGTGGCCATAGCCTACATCTCCAGGGCTTCAGCTTTTCCACTCTCTGCTCTTTCAGTGGAGGGAGAAAAAGGCAGAGAGGGGAAAGACAAGGAGATCTAGTGGTAGGGTACAGAATATCCGCCAGATGGACTGTGCTAAAATCCCTTTAATAAAAAGAGCAGCGGAGGTCTTTTCTGGAGGTATTTTGTGCAAGTTAATGGATTGTTGCAGTTTATAATGAGGAATGATGTGTTTTTGCCCCTCTGGCTGAATGAGATCAGAAATAGATGTACACACGTGTATATTCATGAGAAAAGAAAAAAAGTGTGTTTTCATGCATTAAACATTTTTAATTTTCATGTTGTTTTGAACGATTCTTGTCTTGCTGTCAGCACCTAGTCAAACTCTCAGATTTTGCTCTTTTGGCAGGTTTGTTTGTTGACTCATTGTTTTTGAGGGTTAAGCATGTTGAGGTTAAAGGTCACTGATTTATTGTTAAGGTGTGGCGGAATCGGGCTTAATCCAGATATGTGACCCTGGACCACAAAACCAGTCACAAGGGTCAATTTTTTGAAATTGAGATTTATACACCATCTGAAAGCTGAATAAATAATTGTCAGATTAGTGATTTCACTATTTAAATTTTTTGTAATTTTTAAAAAACTGTGTTAAACATTTGTTAAAGGTTTGCCTCTTATAGTCTGTCCCTTTTGTTTAAGGCAGAGCTTTCCAAACTTATAAATCTTGTGTCTGACAGGATACTTGTCAGTGTACAAGGCAAACATTAGACTCAGTTCACACCATATACCCCCGACAGCCTGCTTGTTGCCTTGGCAAAAAATGGTTTAAGAAATTTTTTTTTTCTTTTTTTCTTTCTTTATAAATATGTATATACAATTTATCATAATAAGTTTTATTTAAATAATACTTCTGGAACTTGCAGCTCTCATGTAGAAATTGTAGTTAATATATCAATTTGATTTACCTCAGTGGGTTTTAAGGTTTGACCTATTTTAAATTTGTCTAGTGCATGCAGTTTGTTACATACTTTCTCACCCTAAATGTCTTCAGGGGACTTTCCCTCCATGAAATAGTCCAAGGGATCTTTATAGTCTGTAAAGAGAGCAGGGCTGTGGCAGTAGGGCTTATAGTAATTTGGATAAATGTCACTTTTCCTTACAGACCATCGGATCTCTTGTAGGCCTGTTTACTTCATGATTTTGACATGGACTACTAAACCTATCTTTAGTTCACAATCACTTTATTATACATCAGAATGTGTTTTCTTTGTGGTCCAGGGTCACATATTAGGATTAAGAGAAGTGTAAGGGATTTTTAATTCCTCAAGTTCCTTTAATCACCTAATGGATGGACCTCTGTCAGATTAGTGATTTCACTATTTAAATTTTTTATAATTTTAAAAAAACTGTTAAACATTTGTTAAAGGTCTTATAGTCTGTCCCTTTTGTTTAAGGCAGAGCAAGTTATAGTTCCAAACTTATAAATCTTGTGTCTGACAGGATACTTGTCAGTGTACAAGGCAAAAAGTTGCGAGTCTCAATCTTCTGTTGTCTCATGCTTCATCTCATAGTCTGTTTGCTGTGAAGTTTTCTTTTTCACACACTCAATGACTGACACAAACACTTTCATACACTTGCTGACTGATACACAAACACTCTTACACTATGGCCCACCTATATAACTGATATTAAAATACATTTTCTGGTGATCTGATCACAACGGGTTCAAAATGTCAGAACATCAAAAGGCGTCTGACCACATCACATTTGTAAAATCACATTTCTTTAGGCTCTGCCGAAACAAGAGGGGCCATCATACTTTTTTCAATTTTTTTTGTTGTCGTTGTGTGTAATAAAAACATATACATACACTGACTAGTTTACAATCAAACTGGGCAGCACTAATCATAAATCTGTGCACAGTGTTAGATTAATATTAAGGATTCAGTCCCAGAACAAGCTCCATAATCTAATCCACTCACAAACTGAATGATCTCTAAAAGCATGAAAAGAGATTCTGGGATTATGTGATCCCATATGACTGAGATGATTATGTGCACAATCACATATGCTCGTATTATGCATGCACTTAAGTGTTCACACATATATGTGCAGATACATTATGAGGCCTGAGCAGTGATAATACACAAGAGCTTTGTGTGAGAAACAATGTAAATCAGCATTCACAGAAAATCTTCCCCTTCCATTTTACGTTTGTGCTATTTGAATAAATGTTACATTTCGTTAACTAAAACTATTAAAAATTGTTTTGGATAATTGAAATAAATCTAAAATAAAATAACTATTTGATGGAAAACATAAAAAGTACAAATATTGCCTTGACTACTAACTGAAATAAGTTTAATTTGAAATAGTAAAATTACAGTAGTAAAACTTAAACTGAGATAAAAAATTTTAAATCTCTTTAGAAGCATAAAAAAACTGATAAAAGTGATAAAAGCACATACAAATAATACATTTCAAGATTAAAATTAAAACTGTAAAAGCTTATTCAATTATTAATAAATACTATAATAGTATATAAAGAATAACACTTGGATTGTGCTGCTGCGTATTCTTTTGTACATGCATATATTCACATTAGGTGCATTGGGTACAGGGCACAGTGATCAATGACGTTTGGCATCATTGGTGTCAACCCTGGCACAAGCACATCTTGTGAATGTGCAAATGTGATTGAGGTTTGAGAGCTGAAGCATGAACACACTTGCTGTCAGTCACCTATAATAATTCCTGTGCTTTTCAAGAGATAAAGGGCCTGCTGACTCCATGTCTAGAGATCAGGTAATGAGTTCAAGTTCAGAGCAGATATGGGCCAGTGACTGCTCATTATCCACAGACCACAGGGAGGCAGAGGGTGATCGAGAGAGAGATAAAAGAGCAGCTGCTGTACATCCTCAGGTCATCACTCTGGATTTGACTGCTGCTGCCCATCTGCATCACTAGCATACTCACATCCTGTTTCATACTTAACACTGATGCTTAACACATGACCCGTCTGATTCAGCATAAGACAAGTACAGAATCTCAGTTCTTAAAAAAAAAAAAAACATTCAGGACCCCCCTTTTCATGCTATTCAACCTGTCTTGCCTATTTCTGTGCACTAATTCAATGCACTTTTTAAAAATTTAGTGCTCCCCCTAGTGGATTCAACAGTGAAGTAGCATTTAGGTCAATTTAGGTAATTTCATTTTTATTTGTTTATTGTTGCTTATTTAAAAGCTAATTTTAAAAACTAATTTTCATTGTCACAATATAAGCAAACAAATGGGTTAAACAGCAGGTCAGGTGTGTGGCATGATGTTATAAAAATAATTATTAAATAAATAATCATTCTGAAAATAGTAAGAGATAAGATGCAAGCATATGCATGTAGACAATCTATTTATAATTAGCATTAGTGTTATTACCAGCATTCCCTACAGATGCATTTACAAACAAAGATTTTCTTTTGTTATATACTGACATGTAGTCTTTTTCCTTCCATCATGTGTCATCTGTAGGCCTCTAGAGACCTAGTTTGCTTCCTGCAACTGGATCATGTTAACGTGTACCTGGGTCAGGACTACCGCAGCAAGTATAAAGCCCCAACTGACTACTGCATGGTCCTGAAGGTGAGGGATGACAATCAACTTTGTACATTGTATCAGACATTGCAGTTTTATGCAGTTATAAAAATTGTCTAAAAATATCAAAGTTTTAAAGGTGCAATAGGTGATTGTCTTCAGAAACATTTTTGGTATGCTGGTTGAAAGTCTCTTCACATCCCGATAGCAATCATTAAGTTAAGTGGTCTAAATGTATTTACATATTTTGTGGAAGGCGTAGGACCAAGAAATGTTCGTCCAGTCAAAACGCTCGGTCTGAGCATTTTGATTGACTTTCCTACCTGCCTGTATATATGTATGTATTATATATATGTATTAGCATACCTCTGCTCACCCGGTTCGCGCAGACAGGATATGTCATCAGCGCGTTCACGTACTCTGTGCAGACAGAGCGAGAATGGCAGACAAACATCAACAACCCGATCTTCCTTCCTGGTATTGTAGTACTTTTACTAACTTTACAATAAAGTTTTCTCACCGGTGAATGACATATGATGTATTGTAGTAATGTTGTCTCTGGTCGTCTGGTCTGTGTGCAGTCCTGCGTTTAGGAGGCGTGGCTTTGGACGGCGATTTGCAGGGAGGGTGGGACGTACGCTTTCAGTGCTATCAGGCTAAAGTTAACATTTTCTAAGATCTCCTACTGCACCTTTAATTCCTTGCTATCAGATGTCAGTCACACTGCTTTGTTCCTGAAGAGGAAGATGAGTTGAAGCCATGTGTTCTTAAAATGCATTTACTTAAATGACTAAAAAGTAATTAAAGTAAAGTAAAGTAGCGGAAGCAGTAAAACAAGCATTTGCCTGTCCATATCTCTAGTTTATCATCATTTTCCAGATTTCCATTTGTCTATATGGTTAAAGCAGACAGCAGTCAGAGGTTTTTGCCAAGAGAACATTTTAAGTGCTGGGATCTGTAAAAGTACAAAATCTCGGTCTGCATTACAATTTGTGATTCTGGACTGAACAAAATATTTCTTCAGTTCGTGCAGACACCCTCAGAAGGAAATCAAAGCCACAGAAGTGAGACAAACATAAATATAGCCTGTTTTTGGTCAGTGTTTGGCTTTCTTTTGACATAACTTATCTGCTGTTGAACTTATCTGGCGTTATTCTTGCATAGCCAAAGTTTTGAGTACAGCATAAAGGATTGACCACACTGCAGTTTATTACTGTGAAGAACTGCGTACTTAGACAGAAAGAGACCATCTGAAAAGTGTATGTGTGTGTTTTACGCTCAATTTAGAGATGAGTTCATCTGAAACAGTTTATTATACCAGACAATCTAATTCAAATTATGGTAAAACATCAGCCAGCAACTAACAGCATCACACAGACATTTGATCACACAGACATTTGATCCCACTTTGGCAAAGAAGCGTTTATTGTATCGAACTGATACTGAACTGAACTTTTCAAGGATAGGTCAGAAATTGCATAAAAGCCATTCAAGTCAGTTTTACTTTTTTGGTAGTGCTTGTGAGTTTTGTGTTTAATACGCATCAGACATTTAGTGATCAGACTGTGAGCTAGTTGTGGCTGAATTTACTCTGACTATAGTCTAATACAGGGAAAAAGTCTGATCACACAGTCTCAGACTATAAATTGCATCAGTATAGGTAACATCTCTGATTTCGCCACACAGCACCCACAGATTCAAAAGAAATCACAGTACATCAAATACCTGTGCTGTGATGATGTCAGAATGCTGCATCAGTGGGTCAATGGAATACGCATTGCCAAGGTAACGTCTCGTTATGATGACATCACCCTGCTTGGTGTATAATGTGTATACAGTAGCTAGGTTTTGTGGCTGAATCTATGTGATTTGTAATGCAGTATGGGAAGCAGCTGTATTTGAACTACCAGGAAGCCATGAGACGCACAGAGGCCGCTCATGACTGGTCCTCCCTCTCCAGCTCCAGTATCAAGTCTGGTTCCAGCTCCTCCAGTCTACCAGGTGAGTTCAGCAGTGCAACAGCAGAAATATAGAAATCTCAAATGAAATTTAACAGGCTTGTGTAATGTTGTCTGTGTTCACCCGTTTACTCGACTTTGTGATTCTTTCATGCAAACAGAATCTCAGTCCAACCACTCCAGCCAATCAGACAGCGGCGTGTCAGAGACCACATCCTCTGGTCATGTGCGCTCTCAGAGTGTCGTCAGCTCCATCTTCTCTGAGGCATGGAAGAGAGGCAATCAGGCAGATGAACCCAAGGTGACCGTTGAAGAACTTTACTAGTCTCTTTACTTGCGCTGCTTTGTTTCACCTCTGTTTCTTCATCATGGTGTCATTATCATCTCTTCTGTGTCTTAATCCATTTTAAAAGATCTATTGTTTGCAATATTATATTCAAGAAATAGGGTTCACAATATGTGCAATACACCAATCAGCATTAATCTGTTTTATATTAGTTGTAATGAAAACCTGAAAGAAAATATACGCATATACCAAGCAGAAAACAACGAGGTTTGTATGGTTTGATGGTGTCAGTGATATAATTATAGTTCTGATTTCGTCCAGTTTAATTAAAATGCTCTGTCAGTGGAATTTGCTGAAGTAGGATATGGCATATTGTCAACTACGTCCTAGTAGTGTTAAATTTAATTGCTAAGAGGAAAGGGGCAATTTAAGCGACCCTTTGGGTAATTGTGGGACATTACTTGTATCGCACTGTCCCCAGATATATTACTTGTTAATTGGTCCCCTCTCTGTTTGTCTACCCAGGATGAGAATGTCAAGTCTGGAAAGGCTATACATTGATGGGGATTGAGGTTAGGAGTGTGATAAAACCTCACACTCTAGCTGTTTATATTTGATATAATCCTCACATGTGAATCTCTAAAGCAACTAACCACTGATATGATGTGTGTGGTGGGCAGTACAACTTAGTTGTTTTTTGAATGCTGGGTAATTGGGGGCTGGTGTGAGACACCTACTGTAATAGTTTGTGTTAACTCTTAACAGACAGCGCACTGGTGTTGTATTTTGAATAACCTGTTATGATGTTTGGTGTGTTTTGGTTTGGTGCGTGTTATAAATTATACATATTGTCAGAGAAGGTAAGCACGACAAAAAAAAATGTATGCACACACTGAATTGCTGTTGTCTTAATTGGTTGTTTGGAAGAGCAGATCTCAATTAATACTAACAGTTCTTAGCTCCTCCCTTAAGACTTTATTACATTTCCTATAACATTTCATGTTATTTCACACTTTTAATTGCACTGTTTGCATAATATCTTGTTGCACACCACTAATATATATCCTTCAAAAAAATTAAAATCAATGTGAACTAGATCTGTTCTAATTGAATCATTTTTGTCATTTCCACAGATGAGAATGGATGGCCCACCAGCACAGCCTGCTAGAGCCTCTTACCCTCTACAACTTCCCCAACTGCCCCAATCTCTCCAATCTCGTTGCAGCTACAGTGGTGTGTCCCCAGTGTCCCCCTCCTCGCCCCCATCTCCCCCACCGCCTCCTCCACCACCTCCCCCTCTCCCCAACCCCACGCACCACAGCACCAATGGGCTCCAGCAGTTCTTAGCTCAAAAGTTCCCTAATATGACCTATGACTTCTCACCTGTCCAACAAGATGAAGAGCCTCCGCCACCTCCTCCAGTGTGTTTCTCTCCGCCCCCTCAGCAGTCAGGTCCACCTGCCCCACCTAAAACATTCACTGGTGGGTTTCCACCCCAAACGGCTCCGAAACCCGCCCACGGCATTTCCCCCATTTCCCCTGTGCCACCTTCTTTGTCTCCAACCCCTCCGGCCACCATGAAGAAACAACAAAGCCTCTCCAGTGGTCACAGCCCCAATCAACCTCCACCTATCCTTCCCAAGCAATATAGCCTTTCTTCCAAAGCTGCATCTGTATCTGCCCCCATCTCTCCCACCCAATCGCTTGTAAAGCAGATTGTAAACCAGTTCCCTGACGCCCCTGATGGATCTAAATGCCCCATATCTCCTCCTGTGGTAAAAACCAAACCAAAATGGCAGCCAGGAGGGCAAGCTCAACCACAATCTCCTGAATTTCCTCCACCCCCACCAGAGAGTACCCTTGAATTCCCTCCACCTCCTGCTCCAAGTCCCCCTCCTGCCCCACAGCCTTCTGGCAAGATGGGATCACCAATCAAGAAGTCCCCATCGACGTCGTCAAATTCTTCTACTGGTTCAGGAGGGAAGAAGCCCCCTCCAACTCCACAGCGCAACTCCAGCATGATGTCCACCTCTTCCATTGAGTACCAGGAGTCCAAGAAAGTGGAGGATTTGGTCAGCATGTTTGCCCAAACCAGTCAAGCCCCTCCCAGCTCCTTCTCAACTCCATCCTCTACGACAGGATCACCTTCCAAGGACTCTTCCGCAGGTCCTCGAAAACCAGGCAAGATCAACTTGGCTAATCTGCCTCTGGCTCTCCAGGGGAAGCCAGGTCAATATCAGCAATCCAGCTCAGACTTCCCCTCTCCTCCTCCCGAATGTGACTTTCCCCCTCCACCACCAGACTCAGAACTCCTGCCTCCTCCACCTCTCCCATCAGAACTGCACACCGGGGCTCCCAAAGTGGCCGTGGTGAACCCTCAACCCCAACACTCCTCCAGCTCCACATCCTCATGGAAGCAAAGCTCCTTGAAGAAAATGCCACCTCCGACTATGCACCGCCGCAGCAGTGGCCCACCCGAGCCACTTGCCCTTTCTCCACCTCCTCAACAGATGCCTCTGTCCTCTTTTAACTCTCAGATCCCACCAACTTCCCCCAAGGCCAGTCTGTCAATCCAGCCCAACTTCTTGGAAGACCTCAACAGAACTCTCAAAAGGAAGTCCATGACTCGACATGGCTCCCTCACTTCCTCGAGAATCTCGGCCAAGCTGGAGCCAGTAACCACCATGGACGATATGGCCCTTCCGCCCCCTCCTCCAGAGCTGCTGCTGGGCCAGCAGAAAAAGGGCGGATACATGAGCGCCAACATCTCAGGCTATGCAACATTACGGCGGGGTCCTCCGCCGGCTCCACCCAAACGGGACCAAAACACTAAACTGACAAGTGAGTGGTAGTTGGGACATGTGCTGAGTACGGCTATGCCACTCTCCTTTTCCACTCCGTTTATCTTCAACAGCTGAAACGTCTGCATTAAAATACTGCTCATTTTAACCCCCGATTATAACCACAATATGAAAAAGCCAAACCATCTATACATAAGCTTCTCTGCGTGTTTGTGCCGCTTTGCTATTAAGTGTAGCAGATATACAAAAAACTGAGAAAAAGAGACTGACGTTGTTATTATAGGTACTGCATGGACACTGCTGTGAGGAGCAAAGGGGATAATGTATATGTATGATAAAATATATATGTGGAACAATGGGGTGGGAGGGAACTTGTACTTTTTTATATGAAATTATTTAATACCTGAAATATATTCTTATTTTAAAGTTTAGTTTTGAAACCCTTGACTGTAAACGTTAAACGTGAATAGAAAATCAGGGTTGTTGAACCGATGCTTGTGTGTGTGCGTGTGCGCATTTCGTCTGAGGGATTTGGTTGATCCACTCTCAGAAGAAAAGCGAGGGCCTGGTAATAGTGCCGCCCTGGCTTGTCATTAGATGTGCTTAAACTATGATGGAACTGTAAAAGAATGTGCCTTGGGTTGAACATTGCTCAAGAGATTAAGGCTATACTACAGCAATTAACTACACACACTTTTAATTTTATAAGAGACACACACAGAATGTACAGAGAAATAAGGAGACAATTATTTGATTATAGTATTTTCTTGGTTGAAAATGTATCTTTTTAAAGCAAAACTATTTCATGTAAAGTTTTATTTGAAACATCAGTTGGAGGTCTATCTGTTTGTCTGTCTATTCAGGGTTGTTGAACCGATGCTTGTGTGTGTGCGTGTGCGCATTTCGTCTGAGGGATTTGGTTGATCCACTCTCAGAAGAACAGCGAGGGCCTGGTAATAGTGCCGCCCTGGCTTGTCATTAGATGTGCAAATCCCAATGTGGGAACTGCACTTGTGTAGCATACATTCTAAATGAAGTAGTCTACCAAACTTTCCACATTTAATTTAAATGGTTTAGAAACTTCCACTTAAAATGTCAAGAAAGAAAAAAAACAGCTACCATTGTTATTGATAAATCTGTTATGTTGTGTTGCTGTGGACCCTTACTTTTCATGAAGATGTCCAAATGTTAGACAAAGATGAAAATGAGCCTGTTGCCGCTTGAGTACATCTCGGCGTGTAGCTGGCCTGTGAATGGGATGGGATGTGATGTCTGTTTATGTTGGTTACATTGCTATCTGTCTGTACATACAGCTGCAGTTCCTGACTTTATCAATGTGCGTTAGCTCTGCATGAGTGAAACACACACTAGGAAGTGATGTCGTTCTCCTTATTTTGACCTCTGTCTATACTCAGTGCTGTATTAAAGTGTGTCACATATCTGGAACATCTATTTCTCATGTCATGGCAATGCCACAATGTACTGATGTTAATCTAGCATGCATGCTTCCATAGTATGGTTGCCTAAGATCGAGCACTTTGTAGGGTTTTAAGACCATAGCCACAAAATAAAAGGTGTCATGTCAAGTTTACTTGACTTACAATGCAAAAAAATTCACTGTGTGCCTACTATCATTGTCATCCCTCTAACAAACTTGAATGCGTAGGTTGAGAAAACATGTACCTGTTGGTTTTGCATCTCCAAAAGACTTTCATTTTGAAAGGCTGAGCAATGAAATGTAGGAATAGATAGAGTTCTCTTTACAGGGAGGAGTACAGAGCTAATGCTGCTGCTTAAAGTCAGGAACCTTTAGTTAAATAAATGGGGAAGTAAATGTCTGTTACATTTCAAGTGAACAATATAAATGTGTAAATCACACAGAATGTTGTCCAAGTTTTTGTTATTTTGATGGTTCATTATCATCATACAACTAAAAGCTTCTTATGCTGAATCCTCTGATTTACAATGAATAACAATGTTAGTCCATTATGGACAATACACTATATAATACATGCATAATGTTTTAAAAATCTACAAATATAGCTAGCTACAAATATGTGTTGCACACGTTTATATGCCTGATTAAACTATGATGGAACTGTAAAAGAATGCGCCTTGGGTTGAACATTGCTCAAGAGATTAAGGCTATACTACAGCAATTAACTACACACTTTTAATTTTACACATTTAATTTTATAAGAGACACTCCTTGTTTGTTTACCACAGAATGTACAGAGAAATAAGGAGACAATTATTTGATTATAGTATTTTCTTGGTTGAAAATGTATCTTTTTAAAGCAAAACTATTTCATGTAAAGTTTTATTTGAAACATCAGTTGGAGGTCTATCTGTTTGTCTGTCTATTTTAATCACATTTTATGAAATCACAGTAGTAATCTCGAACAGTTAAACTCTCCTCGACACAGAATGATTCCTGAAGACAAAGAGCCCAGAGGAACCCGTCCTATCCGCCGGATAATGACCTCTTCACTGCTGGACTCTGAGCTGGACCCAAGCGCAGCTGTATCAGCCAGACAACTGATGCCCAGAGGAGCTACAGAAATGCTGCCAACACGCACAAGACTGGGGCACAATTTCTTTGACTTGAGAAAGAAAAGAAAAGGTGAGAAATATCTTAGTATGATGTTGGTATTAGTGAAGTGTATGTGTGACCTGCAACAACCAGAAGGGAGACAGTAAAAACATTAAACCTTGTCTTACCGCAAGACGTCCCTGTTTGAAATGGCAACGATTCCTGTATGGTCTCCTGGTACAAACAGAATGTACAGAGAAATAAGGAGACAATTATTTGATTATAGTATTTTCTTGGTTGAAAATGTATCTTTTTAAAGCAAAACTATTTCATGTAAAGTTTTATTTGAAACATCAGTTGGAGGTCTATCTGTTTGTCTGTCTATTTTAATCACATTTTATGAAATCACAGTAGTAATCTCGAACAGTTAAACTCTCCTCGACACAGAATGATTCCTGAAGACAAAGAGCCCAGAGGAACCCGTCCTATCCGCCGGATAATGACCTCTTCACTGCTGGACTCTGAGCTGGACCCAAGCGTAGCTGTATCAGCCAGACAACTGATGCCCAGAGGAGCTACAGAAATGCTGCCAACACGCACAAGACTGGAGCACAATTTCTTTGACTTGAGAAAGAAAAGAAAAGGTGAGAAATATCTTAGTATGATGTTGGTATTAGTGAAGTGTATGTGTGACCTGCAACAACCAGAAGGGAGACAGTAAAAACATTAAACCTTGTCTTACCGCAAGACGTCCCTGTTTGAAATGGCAACGATTCCTGTATGGTCTCCTGGTATATTTCAGACAGACTGTCTCCTTTATTCCGAAATCAAGCAGGATATCATATGTATTATCACGTCCCAGTGTGATCTTCGATGACAAAGATCAAATGTGTCTTATTTAATCTGTTTTCTAATGCTATTCTTTCAAAATAGTATTAATGTTTGATAACATACAGAGCCCTGCTGAAAAAAACAAGAAAACCCATCACAGAATTTGTAGTGGTTTTACTGGTTATATAATGGGAACTACTGGTAATTGGTCGCCTTCTATTGGATTGTTAAAACCACTAAATCTTAATGGAATATGTCCCAAAACACACTACAGGAAACCATTTTTTAATGGTTAAAAGTTGATGTTTGCAATGTTTATAATGGTATTTGTAGTGAAAACCATTAGAATTTTTTTGTGAGGGTTTCTATTGTTTTTTCAGCAGGGAGGTCAACTTCCTTGACTTTCTAAGATTATTTAGGCTATTTAGTCATAGCTGAATTTAGGAATGCGTGACAAGCAAAATGAAAAACAGAATATTCTCTTATTGAAATTGTTTGTCAGAAGTTACAACCCCAAACGTTAGGCTAACCTAAAATTAACCTACATTTATGGTGCTTTTACTTTGAAGATTGACAGAGGTCAAGAATGCTGTTTAATAACTTTTGTGTTTAATAAAAACAGCATACGGATTTGAAGCCGTACGAGGGCAAGTAGCTATATATTGGCCGCATAATGTTTGTTTTTTTGTGAATACATTTTTTAGTGAGGGTTAAGTGTAACCCAGTTCTTTGTTGACTTGAGTTCATATAACCACTAGAGGACGGTAGTGCACTATGAGAAACTGCTTGACTTTGTTTTGCTGAGAGGATTCCTGAGGCTGCTGCCTAGCGCTAGTATTTGTTGTTGGTAGATCAAATAGATATATTAATATATCTTTTTTTTTTTTTTTTTTTTTAAAAAAAAGAAAATCTCTCTTTCAGACCTTTTCGGTGCCGTCAATCTCGCTCTTTGGACTGGAGTGCTTTGAGGGTCGGGAGGTCGCCATTGATACACAGATTTCCAACATGTGGGAGGAAGGATTTAATACACATTTCCTCTCTGTCAGGGTCAATAGTGGTTGGTGAGTTTGCATATTATTGGTTCATATTAGTACATATTATTACCTTTCGGACCACACTGCTTGTTGGCCTGTGCAGGTTGAAATTGCTGGACTGCCTGTTGACTTTATCGACAGAAACCTTCAGTGCCAGGTTAGCCAGATGACTGAAGTTATTTCCAAGCTGCCCTGTTTAATTAGAGTAAATGATAATAACACTATCATAACTTTAACTAGTTAAGTAGCTGTCAGTTGTTAATGTAGTTACTCTAATATTCAGATGTTTGAGGTTGGTAATATTTTTTCCTTTTTTTGGAATAAGTCTCTTGTGCTTACCTGCTGAAAAAACAGCTAAAACCAGCCTAAACTGGTTGGTCTTAGCTGGTTTAAGCTGGAAGTAGCTGGTTTTAGCTGATCTCAGCCTGGCCAGGCTGGTAAAGCTGGTTTTAGCTGGCTGACCAGCTAAGACCAACCTGACCACCTAAGAAAGTGGCCAAAACCCCTCTAAAACCAGCCTAGACCAGGCTGGATGACCAGCTAAAACCAGCCAGCTGTTTTTTTTTCAGCAGACTGCGTTTATTTGATCAAAAATACAGGAAAAACAGTAATATTGTGAAATATTATTCCAGTTTACACCGACTGTTTTGTATTTTAATATACTTTATACTTTATTTTAATATGTAATTTATTCCTGTGATGGCAAAACTGAATTTTCAGCAGCCATTACCCCAGTCTTCATTGTCAATTGATTCTTCAGAAATAATATATGCTAAATTGCTGCTTAAAAACATTTCATATTATTATCAGGGCGGAAAACAGTTGAGCTGCTTAATATTTTCATGGAAACTGTAGCCTTTCCATGGAATTTTTTTAATTAATATTAATGTTTTCCAATATTTTTGGATGAATAGAAAGTTCAAAAGAATATCATTTATTTGAAGCAATATTAGTATAGGCTAAATATCCCAAAATATTTTCTAACTTTTTAATGAATGCATTTACTGTCACTTTTGATCAATTTAATGTGTCCTTGCAGAATAATAAAGGATAAAATAAGGGAGAGAAAGAAAAGAAAGAAGAACTTGACTCAGAAAAAAAGAACAAAAGCTGTCACTGGAACAGTAACTTCTCATGAAGGAACTAATACTTTAGGTATTAATATGTATCTTTAATGTATTAATATGCATCTTTTAGGGGTGAATAAGGAAAAAGAAAAGAGTACCTCTTAAAAAGGTACCACCCCACTGACAACTTTTGTACCTCTTTTCTGAATGCTGAAAGGCGGTGTACATTACACACATGAAAATATTTATATATGATATTTTCAAGACGTGCAATAATGATGTTAAGCACTATATGATTGTTAATGACTTGAAACATTTCTAAAGTGTTACTAAAGAATTGAAGTCATTATTATGTCCATATAATATTTACAGTGATTCTTTATTTAGATCCTCATCTTATGAACTTCATTAAATCATGAATGTTTTCTTACCCGAGACACAGCAGCACTGAAAGAAGAGCAGCAGAATGTAGGCTGGTGTCATCTTTTTTCTATATTTCTTTTGTAACTCACTTCTGCTCTTCTCACTATGTGAATGTATTTTTCTCCACTGCAGTGCTCAGTAAACAATCTTCCAGCAATGCAATGTCACAAGCCCTGCCTTGGCTTTAACCACAAAGTAAATGCTTTGCAGTTTTAATTGAGCTTTTCATAAAACCTGAAGACATTATAGTTTAGTCTGAAAATGCTGGATGATTATTTCACAATGGCTGCATATATGTGGCTTTTTTAAATGTCAGGGCTTGTGCAAAATGATGTACATTAAACTTTTTTTTTTAAAAACATGACTATGTGTCATGTGTTTTCATCACACGTTGTCCTTAATTTGTACATGCTTAATCTGTTTGTACATGTCCTTCATTTGTACATGCTTAATTTTCATCAGTAGTAAATTGAACACTTTCAGAGACATGACGTGTTTGAGCAGCTAAAGGGAGCCACGAGAGGCTGGGGTGGTTGTCACGCTTTTACCCCGGTGAGTATTTCTCACAGTGGATTTATTCTTGACTTTAGTGTCAATTTCTGTTCATGCACATATTTTCTTGTCTGATTAAAAAAAATAAAAGCTATTGAACTTTTTCATCATCTTTGCCCAGAAATAAGGAGACAGTTTATTGACGTAAACTGTCACACTATATGGGGCAATTTGTCACAATGGAACCTGCCATAAAAGTATTGCGTTTCACAAAACGTTAATTTTGGACTGCAGTTGTGTGGATTACATGTGCATTATTGTGATGGTTTTTTATCAACTCCCATTCGGACGGCACCCATTCACTGCAGAGGATCCAATGGTGAGCAAGTGATGTAATGCTACTTTTCTTCAAATCTGTTCTGATGAAGACAATAAAAACGTCAGCAAATTTTCATTTTTGGGTTAACTATTCCATAAAGCATTCAAAATTAATAATAAAAGAAAATGTTAAAGGTAACATAACAGTTTTTTTTGGCTAACAGATTTAATTAATTGTATGAAATTATATAATAAAACATGACAGCCTGCCACAACCTGTTATTTGTGATCAATCCTTTTATCCTGGAAAGTTTTTTTTTTTTTAAAGTTTAGTATTGCTGACTCGTGTCTTAATGTGGTTTTATTCACTTGTTACCAAACCGTTATAGTAAAAATATGACAACAATGGAATTTCTATAACATTATCCTGATTTGAAACGAACGTACAAAACGTTACTGAGATGTAATCCTTGGGATATAACTCCACTCTCACGTGGATATCTACATAACAACAATATTCTGCTGACTCTATGCATTTTTCTCGCCTCACTTTTGATTCAGACTAAACAGAACTGCTCATTTGATATCTTGTTTTCACACCATGGACACATTTCACGGAGCTGAGGTTTGATTTTCACACTTCCACACAAACATTCACTTCCTCTTTCCTTGTGTAGGTGCAATTTTTGCTGTGTGGATGCTGCAGCTCTATTACTTTAAAAATAAAATAACACTATATAAAGATGTGAACAAGCCTGTATATGATATAAATATGTTGAGAATCTCATAGCTTCATCAAAGCAGAACTAGTGCTCTTCTCGGTCTCTGCAGCTAACAGCTTGTGGGCGTCTGAGTGTGCAACCCTCCAGCAATCTTACGTACGTCTCAAGCCATCTGGACCCGTTTGCTGCCAAATTACGCAAGTCTGAAAAAGAACATGGGCGTGTATCCCAAACATGAGCTCTGCACTATAACAACACCATCTGAGGAGAAGACATTTCACTATAAACTCCCGCAACACAATCAAGACAGCATGGAAAGTCGTCAAAAAAAATTATGTAGCTTATCATCAGCACAATTTTTCACTTTTGAAAAATATCTGGATCTATACACGTTTGTGTCCGAGGTCAAAGGTGAAACATTTCTGTTAAGAAAGCTCTGAGCAAGTGCCGTTTTGGAAGAGCGATCAGACAATTCGCATGGAAAGTTCTAGTACTGGGGAAAAAAGGAAGGTTCACATTTAACGTTAGAGATTTTGCACATTAGTGTTATCCTCTCACACATGGAAATACTGATGGCCATACTTTTATTCAGTTATATTTGCACACAATATAGAGTTAATGGGTTTAATTGTATACAAAAATTACTCCATTAAAATATATGTCAACACTGGTGTTCAGAGTGATGTGCTTTCAGACAGAGGTAAATTATCCCTCTAAACATCACATTTTGCCAGGTATTGCTGGGTAGACAGATACGCTCACCTGGCTCTACCCTGCTTTAAACATCCATCGGTTCTTTACATAAGATTCAAATTAAATTTCACTATGGAGACACGTGGACGCTCTTCTTATTTTAGGACCTGCAAAATGGAAAACTTTTTTAGTAGCTGGAGAGAAAGAGATCAGTGATTGTCAAATAGTAGCTTATACACATTTCAATAATACTACAAAATGGCACAATATATTTAGCATAAACACAAAGAGCACCCAAATTAATACTGTAATATTTGGACTTACTGTCCATGTAACATGAATGTCTTTGTGTATAAGATGTCATCAAGAACAAAAACGTGATGAACTAATTAAATATGGGGTTCTAACACTTTTTAACGTTTTTTTTTTTTTGTAACCTTTCTAGATTATCATTATTGGATGATTTTTCAATGTCAGGTACTAACATGAATGAATAGACAAACTATATTATTGTGTAAATGTCTCAAAATGTCCCACAACCAGAAAGATGTTTCATGCAGGCATAGTTGCAGTTTTAGCTGATGAAATATTTCAGAACAACTGTAGAAAATGTTGAGAAGACTGGAAATCACTAGTTTAACATTTCCAGATATATCAGGTTTTCCATGACTGTGGGAACCCTATAAATAAAATGTGAAAGGAAAAAATTTTTTTTAAATAAGGTTTATTTTTATTAAGCATGCAGTCTATGAAGCACTACATACACTTATCAAATATTAACCAAATGGTTAGCATCATGACACAATATTTAAATGTAAAAAAAAAAAAAAGTTCATGAGGTTATTAGATCTGTCTAGTACTGCATGTGCGTTGGGGCTGACCGATTCTCATGGGGGGGGGGGAATGAATAAACATATTAAATATATTTAATGATTAAGTTAAAAAAAATAAAAACAAGGTGAGACCTTTGTGCAAATATTTCCTATATCATCAATCTGGCTCAAACTGATTTTAATTAGATGGGAGAGAATAAATCAAACAATAACTTAAACCAAACCACTTTACAGAGACAAATTAAAAAACCTTAAACTGTCACAACATGTAATAAATAGAAAGCTACTTCTCTATATTCACTCTTTCTGTTCAGTTCCACACTTTCCTTGTTCCTTAAAACACAACATGAATGTAATGAACTCCCTTTTTGAGCGTGACCTCACAGTAAAGCACACCCTGAACCCACCTCAGGCCGTTCAAAAAACAATCCATTTCAGAGACATCAGTCAGCCCCCGTGCTGCCTTCCAAAACACTGCAATGCTGTGGAATGAGCAAAGGTTATGAAATATGGAAAAATAAAAATGTACCCACACTAAATCTAGCTTATGCATATCCTGAACTTCAAACTCTGTATCCTTCATTCAACCGTAAACATATTGGCTTTTATTCATATAATTTTATTTCTCTAAGTGTTTCCTCAGTCCTTGGTGCAAAAGTCTGGTCTGCAACATCTGGATGTTCAGCTTCACATCGCTTCCTCTTTTCTGTTGCACCTCTCATCTCTGAAGTCTCACGGCCTGTTATTAGCATGGTTTGTATGCACACATGCACTCTTCTGCAGTGTAAGATTAGCGCTGGTGGGCGTCGAGGATTGGGGGAGAGACTGAGGACACTCTCACTCCGTGTAGTGCATGATGGACTCCACGTAGTTTCCAGGGAAGAGTCCTGTAGTGCCGCTCATCACACCTTCAAACCAGCCATCATCATTCTTTTTAATGACATAGATGATGGCCCCCTCCTGGAAAGACAATTCATCTTCCTTGTCCTGCATGTAGTCGTAGATTGCCACCACTGAAAGCAGGAACAACAAACAGACAAGTCAAGTTACAAGGTAAGTTACAAATGACGAGGCCCATGTGGATTTTTTTTTTTAAAGATTTCTGATCAGAACTGACAGGAAGTGAAGTGGGAGAGAGATAGGGAGCGGGATCAGGAAAGGTCCTTGAGTCGGCATTCGAACCCGTGACAGCTGTAGTGCAACGACTGTATGTCGGCACACTGCCCACAAGGCTATTGGCGCCGAACCATGTGTGCCGTTCATTTAGTTTTACAAATCCCTTGCGTTTTTATTACATTTTAGTGCTAATTTGATGATTCTTTCAGTAATTAATGAAGTCCTATTTGGAGATTAATTGTGCAAATGCACATGGGGACATCTGTAACAAATTTGCATTGCACCTCAGTGATAAATTTTGTGCATTTGGAGTGTGATTTCTTCATGGTGGAGGATTGAGTACTGTGATTCTACTAACCCAGGAACACATGGTCAGTTTCATGATTGTCAGCTGTAAATTGTAAGTTGTTAGCTGTCTATTATTGCTTGGACAATTAATAAATGTATATATTTTATTTGAAAATAGGAAAATAATCTCCTATTTATTATTTTTATTATTTAAATACCCTATTTTAAAATAGGAAAATTTAAATGCTATAATTTAAAAAGCTTTTGTCTCGCATTTTATCTCTCAAATAGATGGATATCATTTTAAAAATGTGGAAATTTGCAGAATCAAGTGGAACAAAACTTTTATTGACACAAGGTAAACATTTGACCCAGCTACTTGCTCGACTAGTATAATCATTTGTGCATGCCCTAATTTATATTAATATACATAATAAATAAATATATATTTATATATTTATTGATACCATAGAAATAGCCCATTTTAACAGTTGACTTTTTTTTCTTTCTTCTTTATCTTCTTAATAGCTCCCATTCACTACAGTGGAGCGATGATTAAAGGTGCAGTAGGAGATCTTGTAAAATGCTAACTTTAGCCTGATAGCACTGAAAGCGTACGTCCCACCCTCCCTGCAAATCGCCGTTCAAAGCCAC